CCACATTCTCGTAGCGCAGGCATGTTAATGAGGCTCGGGTAGCAACGAATGATAGATGGTTCGTTCCAATTGGCATCACTAGACAGTTCCTTCTAAGGAACCGAACGTACTTTATCAATCACATGAGGTGCACATTCTTGAATGCGCTACGGTATTTCTTGGCGGAGCAGTTTTCAAGGAGAGCAGGTGCAGCGCCTCCAATGTACCTGCCTTCTCTTGAGGCTCTCGTCGAGCATCCAGGGTACCTTCCTGCCTCATCAGACTGACCTCCGTCCATAACGTCCCTCCAACGCCCATGAACCTTTCTCCTTTTCTTCCGTCTCGCCACCGCAAGCGAGGGGATCGATATGGAGGCTTGTGGGGAAGCTTGGGACATGGAAAGTTCATGCTTCCGAGGTCTAGATGTCACTGCCCTGCAGTTTCTGAAGTACGATTCGGGAACATGGAGCAAGACGTAGTGAGGAATCCATACGGCAACGAAGTGATAGCCAAAGGGCTTGGTGAAGACAGGAACAAGAGATTGGCAAAACATCATGTGAGGAAAGGCATCAAGTGTCGATGTTGACAACCTTGCTCGTTATTCTACTGGGAGGAAAGAATCAGCATTGTTTATGGAATTCGCATTATCTGCTCTTCAACTGTTTATTCTGCTTTTCTTCGTTTTCATGTGTGCGGAGGCTTATCAAGGGCATCTGACTTCCCAAGACCCATGCGAATATTTAGACACTGAAATGACCATATTCGACAGCGCGGCGAGTATTTCTCATGGATAAGAAGTGTCAAACGAAACGGAACGAGGAGGCATATCTTTATCTCCCGCTATCGCAGAGGTCAGACAACCGGGAAAAGCTTGTTCCCTCGGCAATGAGACGCGTCTTCGTGAAAGTTCTCAGAGGATATCTAAGTCTGGCGAGCCAAAGGGTCGTCAATCTCCGAGGAGGCTAGATTTAGCAACACTGAGACTAGTCTTCAGGACGAAGGAATTGACAGACTTTAGTTGGCTGGGTAGCCAACGTCAGTAATAACAAAATAAGCTCAGTCACCATCAGGAGGCAGATACAGTCACTTCTATATCCTGAAGACATATCCAAGGATCGCAAGGTACAAGGTCACCAATTCGCCAAGTTGCAGGGACTTCGCGAGAACTGTGCCGGGAATAATGCACCTTCACCAAAAAAAGATTGATTGAAGAGAATACAAATTCAGTCTTGAGACTTGAATAGTTGATTAACAAAGAAGAACGCCGGCCCAGGAATCGACTATCCGCCCGAACCAGCCCAACGCCGCCATATGCTGCTGTAAATAAGTTTGAAGCCATCAAGCAAAAAGTCTTCCCAGAGCAATGTCACCCATCTCTCATGCCACGTACGTCAAGCCCTCTCAGTGGAAACCCGACCATCTAGAAGGGTACCGTTCCCCTTGTTGATTGCTTCTGTTCCTCTTCGCGCTGGCAAAGGGGTTGTAATCGGGAGCACTCGTGTGGTCGAGAGCATCTGAGCCAGTCGATCTTCTAATCTCCGACTGCTTCAGTGGGCTTCCTCGACGTTGTTCCCGAGCAGCCATTTCTCTCGAGTTCCGGGGCGACATGAAGCCCTGGTTCATCTCATTAAGACTCGACGTCTTCTTGAGTGGCGAGTTCGCGTGGTTGAATACACCCAAGTTTCCGCCAAAGCTCGTTCCTCCGGTGTTCGCGGTGGACGTTGAGGTCGACTGGTACATGGGTGCCGGCGGGAGACTTTGCCGGACCGAGCGAGTGCTGGGCACAGGGGTGAAGGACTCGGATCGCCTGTTAGACGTCGGAGTAAAGAGACGGGACGCGAAGCTGCTAATTGGAGGAGTGTGGACCGGGTCCTCCTGCTTGACGTGAGGATTGGGTGTAACCACAAACTCTTTCTTGATGACCGTCGTAGGCGTTCCCAGTTCGACAAAGGACTCTTCATCCTTAGCCTCTTCAGGCGAACACTGTGTGCCGACATCGCGAACAACCGGGTGAAGACGTGGCCGCACGAACTTGGTGTCGTACTCGTGGAGGACCTCCTTGTGGATGATAGCCGTATCCTTGATCTGCTGAGCATACCGAGTTTGGACGAAAATCAGCTGGACGGAAAGAATGAGTTGTAGCACAATGCAGTTGAAAACTGTTACACTCGGTCTGGGATCCAAGGGCACCAGAGGGAGGAACATCATATAGACAAGAACGTGGCCAGGGCTGAAGAGGCAGAAGAGCTGCAAAGAGACCGGGAGAGGATCCCAGACACTTAGCTCCCAGACGTCGTGTGATCTGTCGGGGTGGGCTCGCGACTCGGCAGTCTCGGAAGACAGGAGGTTATTCAAGAGTCTCAGGGGCGAAGAGACGGCCGGGTCGGACTTGGCTTTGACTCGTTGGGCTGAGGGGGTGTGCGGCTTGTCTTCAACGTTGACTTGGAATAATCGGTACTGCCTCGTTCTGGACATGGTATAGAAGGCGTTGGCGACAGATAGGAGGCCAAGAATCCAAACGAGGGGCCGCACCTGAGGACTTGTTAGTAACCATGATGCGCAACCCATGCGACTCGATGCTACTGACAATGTAGGTGACGATGCCCCCGGAGCTCCCATCGCTGAACACATCATCCTCGACCTCCGATGCTACGCAGTTAGCTCTAGCAAGGAGGAACACGAAGTTGCAGCCGAGCCCGAGCTGTGTTCCTAGTGCCTTTGAATCCCAATCTCTCGTCTCCAATTCTTCCGATAGCCAGAGCAAGAAGTCCATAGGGTTCAGCATGGCCTTCAGGCGCTCAGAGAGCGGCTTCTTTCGCACTAGACGCGGCATCTCGTCAGATTGCGCTTCTTGCCATCAACAGGCGACTTCTGGGCGGATGGAATTCTGGAAGCCTCGGAGGTGATGATTTCGTAGTCGACGGGCGGGATCGAGTGATGCGTCGGTGTCGTTTGTCGTCGTTGTCGTCGTCGATTTCGTCGCTAGGTGAAATTGTTTACAAAGAAGTCTGGGCCTATTGATTTTTGGGCCATTGTCCCGCTGCTTGGCAAGAGGAGCTTTCGACAGGGGTACCTTCCTTATGTGCATGGACCGTAAACTGAAAGCATCTGGGAGATAATACGTACCGGAACGCTGCAAGCGGGGTCTCCACTGGCTTCTGTCACATAGCCCACACCTCATCCGAGCCTGTTAGCAGTTCGGGCTCCAGCAGGCGGTACCTGGCAGAACAGCGCTAACAGCACTTCAGCCACAGTGAGGTGCTGGAGTGGAGCGCTGCCAGCCCGCCGCCAGGTCGGGTACAGGTAATCAAGGCAAGTACGTCAATCCGTCCGCCGACCTCCTGGGCCATCGCAAGCTCTCCAACAACCGCACAAGTCATCCAAGATGGCTTCGCAAGCAGATATGAAGGACCGCCAGTTCCTCGCCGTTATTGGCGACGAGGTAGGACACTTTGCGTAGTCGACACTATAACTGATTACAAATGGCTAAAACTTGAGAACTAGGACTCGGTCACCGGCCTCCTCCTCGCTGGCATTGGGGTGCGCTCTTTCGACTCCACGACGATTCCGATTGCGGCTCGAGATGACTAACAAGTGCACAGCACGTCAGCACGGGTGCCGACCAAGAAAAGAACTTCCTGGTGGTGGATAGCAAGACGGACACCGCTACGATCGAGTCTACCTTTGAATCCTTCACTTCGAGGAAGGACATTGGCATCATCCTCATCAACCAACACGTCAGTAGCGATCCTGGGGGGGGGGGGGGGGAAAGCCTTGTGCCAAGAGGACACATACTGATTGAAAGAATAGATTGCCGATCGCATAAGACATCGGTTCGATACCTACACTGCTGCTTTCCCGACCGTTCTCGAAATTCCGAGCAAGGACCACCCGTACGACCCCGAGAAGGACAGTGTTTTGCGCAGAGTGCGCCGGTTGTTTGGCGAATAAGCATGTAATTCCACAGATTATGGGGATAGTAAGGGCCAAGAGGCAAAAGCATGGTACGCCGGCAGCGTATTCGGAGTTTGGATGGACCGCACCGGCCTATCATGAATAAATTGCGAGCTACATGCCTAGCACCGCTACCCTATGTACGTACGCATTGTTATGCCGATACTCCTACGCAGAATGAACACCTAAAAGGACCCTCAAATGGATCCATCACACGGGCGAAGTTGAACTGTGTTATGCCAAATTCCTAATGCTACCAGTGTTATGAGATGAAGTGAAACCCCAACAGCAATCTGGATGTATCGCTACGTGTGACTGTAACCCATGCCCCATCATCGTAAACCTTCGTATGCTTGTAATTAAGTTAAAGCTCCAAGCTGAAGAAGCTCTTGGTGTTGCGCGAGAAAACGACTTGAGCGGTCAAGCAAGTGATGGGGACGTCATCGGCGGTGTAAACGTCAGCAAAGACGGTGTACTTGCCCTGTAGATATTGTCAATAATCTGATAAGGTTCATATAGATGAGCCTGACTTACGGAGGGGATCTCGTTAGGAAGCTCGACAGACTTGGTGACGGTGAGAACACCCTTCTCGATGGGGCACTCGAGGTCGACGTTCTCGATCTGCTCGCAGAGGTCCGCCTTGGTGCTGATAAGGCGGATGAGGCCGTACTTGACCTGGAGAAGGACGTAGGCGCCCTTCTCGATGTTCTGCTTGACGGTGCCGGAAGCCTTGATGACGAGCTCCTTGCCACTGAAACGCCATGTTAGCTGGCTCCCGTTTCACGATACTGCGGTATGCATCGTCATAGACTGGGGGCTGCTGCAAACGAACTTACGCCTGAGGAGGGTTGGGAGAGAGGTCTACGCTGTCGATTGTGACGATGTCCTCATCATGGGACTTGGGGCAGAGCTCCAAAGGCGAGTCGCCGGGGACCTTGAGGTCATCGTTAACAATGACGGACTGGTCTCTCTGGACCAGGACGCTGGCACCGGCCGGTGCGAGACCGGCGGAGAGGAAGGCGATGACAGCTGTGGCGAACCTCATCGCGGTTAGAGGTCGAGGTCGTTTAGTGATTAGGAAGATGGGGTATGGGCGGTTCGAACAACGGCGGTCTCGATGTCGTTGATGATGCTCGGTGTGTACTCGTCGGCGTCCGAGGTTCGATGTTTAGCGTGAGGATGATGGGAGGTGATAGAGAAGTGGTTCCTGCGAGTGGCTTTGGTTGGTAGGTGGTGAGCAACGAACGGGGCTGGGTTCGGAGGGAGAACGTCATGGGGACAACGTCAGATCGATCTGATTGGATGGAGCTAGGTGACCTTGGTCGGGACAAGCGCCTTTGCCTTCCCCAGCGACCATGGCGACATTGGAGGTACCTTTCATTGCATATCTTTGGTGTAGAGCAAGCAGTGCCCTTTGTATAGGTCTGTACATTGAAGTATAGCTATTTGATTATAGACTCACATTGCAGAAGTAATAGCCACAAGGAGCCTCCGAAATAATGCTTTTGCTGGACCAAAGCAAGTACACTAGACAACGACAGAGCCTCTTGAGTGCTGTCCCAAAAGGTACATCGAATCCTGTCGTCGTCGTCGTCGTCGCACGGGCCACCGTAAAATTCCCACTCTTCTGCTTCGTTCCCCTCCAAAGATCCCACTTTCGTTATCGACTTCCCAGCTCCAGATTACCTCCCGCCTTCGTCTTTTGGAGATTGAAACGGCCGAGTCCCTCGATTACGAGCTGCAACCATGGAATTGCGTCGCGAGTGCCATATCACCATTTGCGCATTGAAGGAGCCGTCCATGCGCAAACAAGACGGAGCGCCACACGAGGAAGGAGCTGTCGGCGTTCTAGCCACAATAATGGACTTGACTTTTCGCCTCCGCCTGTGCTCACTCCTATGCGACGGCTGGAGCCTTGTCACACAGAGCAGCTGGGCTGTTTCGACGGCCCAGGTTTTGTTGGAAGATCCCTGGAACTCTGGTCCCGTGGACAGAACCGAAGCAGACAGACAGCAACCTCAGCATTGAAAGCCCAGTGCCAGCCAAACTGTTCAGGGTCTCTCCATCATCACAAGCCGCTGGCTCCTCCAAGATCTTCAGTATCAGAGCCAGAACTGCTTGGTGCGCCCTTCGATCCAAGCATCTTCGAGGGCTCGACTGCGCAGGTTTCGTGATTGGACAGAACTCCGTCCGCGATTCAAGAAGTCGTGCTACGGCATGGATGATGACCTGAAAAGAAAGGTAGCCACACCAGGAGCCACACCATCTCATGCGTCTTTCATGGTGGGAAAACCGTGGTGCACGGGTCCGTCGGCTTGTACCAATCAGTCCGGCGTCGAGTGCAGGGAGCTGGCACAAACAAGTGCTCGAGTGAACCGGAAAGTGTGGCCAACCTGCTTGGACGATGATTGGGGACCGTGGCCAACAAGTACGGGGCACCTCGACAACTCAGCTGCAGCCCTGGCTATCAGTGTCGCAAACTTTTGGACAAGTCTCGAGGACGCGATCATAGGACAGGGAGATCCTAGCTAGAGGGACACCGGCCGCGAATCATGCCGGGGCCCTTTTACGCCAGCTGGGTGCGGATGGACGACGGAAAACCGCGACTCTTTGTTTTGTTTGTCTGCTCGGTATCTCCAGTTGAGGAGAAGGATGATGGGGCGAGAAAGCGGAAGGATAGCGCAGTTCCTCCCGTCGATCCCATCACCGAGGAAGCATTATTATGAACGGCAAAGGCTCGACGAGCCTTCGAGACGGCAGCGGGCACTGATGTTCCCCCCCCTACGTCGTACTGTACTTGGAGCACCCGGGCGCTCTGGGCAACCAGTCAACCCAAGGGCAACAAGGACCACAACTGCTCGCAAAGGCGCCGCGCGTGGTCGCATTTCGAGGCGCGCAATTGTGCTGGACCTGAGGAGCATTGACTGAAGGTGGTCAAAGTACCGATACTTCTGCAACTATGGCTTGGTGAGGCAGATAGATGACACCTCAGCAGCCCAAAGGGCCGCCCCCCATGCCTCCGTTTCTGTGTACACACTCACAGTTCGCAGTAGAGTTCAACGCAGCGTGCCATTTACCGAGCTCTTGGAGGCCAACCTAGTCTGTCTTGGTGAGGGGTCGAGCCATTTGGCGCAGATGGTTGAAGGGGCATCAGGCGACGGCGTGGGATTTTGGAGAAAAAAGGAGAGCAACTGGAGGCGAGAGTCAGCTACGCTACTCCGTACCGAAGTGTCGAACGAAAGGGTGGGATGAAGTTCCAGTGCCGAGAGGGGACGCTTCGCATCAGCCTGCAGTGATGATGACTTCAACCTGCATGCTGCTGTCGCCTTGGGTTGACGAGCTGTGCAAGAGGCTTCACGGAAAGTGTGATGGTGAAAGAGCTCCAGCTGCAGTCATCAAGGGCCGCCTCTGCGGGCGGTTGACCTTGCGGCGAAGATACTTACCTCTGCGACACAACCAGCGAAAGCTTCCGTCAGCCGTGAGCGTGGGCGAGCAGAGACAGACTCTCTCTCACTCTAGAGTCAACATTTGCGCATCCGAGTCGGAGCTGTTTGTCACCTCCAAAACTCCAACGCAAAGTCGCATGCAAAACTGCAGGTCTCCAGCTTGACCAGGGGGAAGGGCGACTTGTTGCAGGGAGCGAAAGACCGGCTCCATGCACGATAATATTAGGCCCTGGCAGTAAGACCCGGTCGGCCATTCCCAGATTGATCTACTGACCAATGAGAGAAGGGAGAGGGATGTTGAGTTGAGACCTCAGACAAGTGGGAATCGGCAGGACGCGACGCTACGCCGTGGGACTTGCGGCTTGGGGGAGGAGGGACTTCACCATTTTGGGTTTTTAGAAGGAGCATCAGAAATGCTGCCCTTTCGCAGACAAGCCCCACTTTATCCAATGGAAATCCAATACAATCCGATCCCACTGCAGCCGAAAAGAGTCGCTGAGCCAGAGACGTATAGAGATGTACCTTTTCTTCCTTTTGCTTCCTTTGAAGTTCTCAAGGTACCTCGGCCTATCTATCCAGTAAGTCACTCCCGTCATCGCTGAGGTGTGTACGTACATGTAACTATGGGTGGCTGATTTTGGTGTAGCGTTCGCTTCGTTTCCGTAGCCCTCGACGCGATGAACTCTCGACTGCCGTATTCGTACCCTTTCGGCTGGACACACAATTCTGCGACGAGAAGTGAGAAGCTCTTCTATGATGGATCAGAGAGAGAGAGAGAGAGACGAAAGTGGATATTGGGCTTGGATGCGAAGAGCATTCGAAGCAGTGGAGTCCAGAGTGGATGACGGCGCCTTTGAAGTCTGCCCATGGTCTCCCATTGGAGCAGAGGCCTTCTTTCTCAGTCTCACCACTCACCACCTCACCTCCAGCGGAGGGGCCCCCGAGTGTCTCTCCAGTCCTGTTGGCTTCTTCTACCCCTGGCGCCATGGCGGCTTGGACTTGGGCTGCCCTCAACCGGAAAGTGACTCTTGCCACCCGCCCACGTCGTCTAGCTGCCTACCTAGCACAAATCAGAGAAGAGCAACCACTCACTTGTTCACAAGTCAGGCAGAATAGGGGGCAAGGGTACAAAGGTTTCCTGCGAAACGACGCGCCAACGGCAAGTCACTCGAAGGCCTCCTATTTTAAGAGAACCCAGATTGCGCATAATTGGACGGGCCTCACGTCTCCCTCGGGATGGGATGAAAGCCATGGTCATCCCCGATTCTCAGTCTTGAAATTCGCTGGTTTGGTTTTCCAAAGACGCTACCATGTTTGAAGGCATCGAATTCGACGCTTGTTCAACTGGAACTCAACGAGGAGATCAACGCGACGCCGGCATTCTCCCGCTCATAGTACGGAGCACACAGGCAATCAAACCTACGCTTATCTTATGCCTAGCCTTCCGTCGGCCAGATACCAGTCAGATACTCTCTCTCCCGTGTCTCTGGCGTCGACTTCTCTAGGGATTCAGTGCTCACAGTTGTTCACTTCCGCCTACGCCCTCCACGCCTACCTACCTGACGGATATCTTATTCGTCTCCGCATATGGCACGCGGATGTCCTCTCTTTTGCAGGCAGAAACCAGCGAAGCAAGGCATCCATGAACCCATCCATCCGTATGGCGCACGCAGAGTCACTCCCGTCGCGCGGGTCACCCCTCTTTCGACCAGTCCTCGACCAGTCTGCCGTCGCCTTTCGCCCTCGGTCGTTCCACCTCTCGCTCCTCCCGTCACATCCGCCCGGCGTTTCTGCTAGGGCCAGAGAGGATCCATCACCCAACTCGCACCAAACACCAACACCACGCTGCCTGCCCATTTCTTTCTCTCTTATTACTCATTAAATCTTTGCATGCCGCTTCTTGTCCCTCCACTCCCACCAGACGAGTCTGCCTCTTGTTTTTGTTCACATCAAACCGACGTTCCGTGGCCGCCAGCTGCTCTCATCAAGATGATGAGAGTCTGTTCTAGTCGAATGCCTCCTTGACTTTGTTTTCGGTACACTTATTGCGGATAGTGTCTTCACTCCACTTTCTCTCCAACATTTTGCTTCTTTTATCACGCAGACTTGGATTTTTTTTTTTTCTTTCGCCCTCTCCGCCTTCTTCTTTGCCTGGTCGACCTCTCAGGCGCGTCTGGTGCGGAGGGCTAACAAGGCACTCACCAGTCCTTCATCAGACGGGAACCATCACACACTTTCCCAATTTCTCTGTGTCTGGTTGCGGCCTGAAACCTCTTCTGCCTGAGGCATCATGGATCTGCGCTAGACATCTGATTGGACAGTTGGAGCCACTCATATCAGCGTGTCCACCGCCTTTCGGGCTTAGCTTCAAGTAAGTACCGGTACCTCTGTACCCTTTCTTCCCTACACACGGGCTTTGGCTTTTCTGCCCTCGTCTCCCGTTCTCTCTCTCACTCTCTTCCTCGTCTGTCTTCCCGTCTCTAGTCTCCCCCCGTCCTGTTGTCGTCGCCCTTCCCTCCAGCGCATGTCCGGCCATACCAGGCTGTGACGGCTGGCGGACTGGCTGGTGGTAGCCAGTGCTCCCCAGCCAGCGGGCAACGGGCCAGGTGCCAGGGCATCTCAAGCTGAGCAGGTGCGATGCTCCCCAAGCATCCCAGCACCCAGCAACCCGTCCTGAGTCCTCATCGCCCTTCCCCCCAAAAAATCCCATCTTCGAAGACGCCCCCCTTCCCTTGCCTTCCCTCCCCCCCCCATCTTCCAGTCCGCAATCCGCGCACCGAAGCACAAGGTGCCAGTCAGTCCCCAAGCCCGCAGAGTCCAAGTCCCCC